GGACCTTTAGCAAATCCAGCCAGTTAAGCAATTCTAAATCCTCTAAAACCATCTGCTGAATTCTCCATTAGCTTAAACAAGATGGGGGAGAAGGGGGAAGGGCTGCAATCCACATTCCTGCACAAAAAATTACTGCAAAATTAGCTTATGGAAACTCTCAAGCTGACATGTGTTTAGAGGAGTCCCCATGTGAATGCTGGAGGCTGAGATTTCTTCCCTATATAAGCAGTGATCATGTGCTTCCCAACAGACATTCTGCTCAGACAAGGTTCTCCCCATAGAAAGCCAATGGGCACATCATGGTTGCAGGACCCAGAGAAATTGTGAGCTTTCAACTCTGTTTTTATTTATTCCTATCCTTTCCTCTTAAATATACTTCCTGAAGAGGGAGGCCAATTAATTTTCAGCATTCGGAGCAGAGTTCCCAAATTCAACATCTCACCCTGTATCATTTTTATTAGGCTGCAAAGCAAGTGCCTACTTGCTACTCAACAACTTGTCTTAGAAAAAAGGAGCCCATCCAAAACACCCCAGTGCACTGCAATGTGCACTGTGCGTTTCAAACCACAGGTCTGAAGTACAAGACCTGCACATAAACTAGATTTCAGAACGTCAGTTAACTTGAAAATGACCTTCACCGTTCTGGAAAACCCACCTGGTTTCAAGCCTCAAGCTCAGATTGTTAAAGCCTCCCTTTACAACTTGGAAATAACAGCAAGAATTATCTTTTCTACAGCCCATTTCACCTGCCTGACACAAACCCCACATGTAGCCCATGTCCATATGATTAAAACTCCCCAGCCACGGACAAAAAGGGCCCTTCAGTCATGTGAAGGGCAAGAAATAAACTGAATTTAGAAAGACAAATAAAAGCAACAAAGCTTATGAAGTGCTGGACGTCTATAAACACCAAAGCAGCAGAACCATTGTCACAGTGCAGATAGAACACAAATGCTGTTTTCCATCCACCCCTAGCAAAGATTATTTATCCCAAAATAAGCCTTTATGACCTAGACCTTGCCTCTACCACCCGAAATTATTTCTATCAAGAAGAAAAACCACAGCATAACTGTTTTGTTATTACAAAGCCTGGAGCAGACCAATCAATGCTTTCACGAGCTTCCCAGCAGTTATAAGAAATTTCAGAAGTGTTGCTTCCAATTACAAAAGCAACACGACGTACCTGCTTCTGTCCTGGAAGATCCATTCGGATTTTCTGACATTTTTTTGCTTCAGTGAACTGGTCTGAAGCTGTAATTATTCTGTATTCAAGGATGTTCTCCTCACGGCTTCAGAAATGAGTGAAGCAACACCAGAGAAAAGGAAGAGACTTGGTGTCTCTCCTCAAGTCAATCCTCCAAAGGACAAATCATCGTGGTTCCGGCTCTCTTATCATTTTTGATTCCACAGCAGGCTTGGGGTATTAAGTCCCACTCTCTCACGTTACACAAGAGACAGAGACTTGCCTGTGCTGGGTATTTAAAGTTGTGTCCAAACAGTATCATCTATCCATGAGAAATCAAGGGGGAGAAGTTTCTAAACTGCCTGGGAACACAAGGTGTCTATTCAGCCCAAATATAATGAGAAAGTTTCTACCGGACTCCAGAACCACGATTAAACAAAAAGAGTCCTGCCTGAAACAAAACCAGATTCACAGCAGAGATTGAAAACCAACTAGACCCATACAACAAGATTTTCAGCACAGATACAAAGCGATGGCAATCCAGTGTTAAGCACTGAAATCTTAGTCAGTCAACACAGGATTTTGGAAGGCAAGGTCATTTTTCTTTTGATTTTCCCCAAAGACCTGCGGTGTTTAAAAAAAACCCAAAAAAACCAACAAAAAAAAACAACCAACAAACAAACTGGCAACAAAGGACCATTTTGCACAAAGCTGAGCACAAATATATTTACATGAGAGATTAGTGACCTCCCTTACAGTACGAACACTACCACCTCAGAGCAACACAGGGAGCGGTTCTAAGAATTGACTGAACATTCAAAATCCTAATTAGTCATTAATGGGGGCAATTTTTCTTTCACATCAATAAATGCAGCTTTTGGGTTTAATAGCTTTCCTGGCTCTCTATATGAAAATAATCTGGACAGTAGGTGAAAATAAAGTAGTAGAACATTAGCTTTATCAGTAATTTCTTAAAAAATGCCCATTTTCAGTGGGAACAGACTGAAATAAATATCAGTTAGGCTTTCATTAGCTTGAACAACCCAAAGTCTTCAAAACATCAGAGTTTAGTTCTGGTGAAGTTAATGAGTTACAGAGGAATAAGCTTGTCTTTTTCCTACCTTTGAGTATTCTGATAGAAATCTATGACAATTATACAAAGATAAAGGATCTCCAGTTGTTACCTAAAAGTGAAATAAAATCTCAGAAGTGCAGTCTGAGTCTTCCCAGATGAGTCTAGTCTAGTTTTCTTAGTCCAGAAAACCTCTGGTTTCCATGCAATAACAAGAACTGCACAAAGAAGGATCTGGAAAGACTCCTAGACCTGCCTGTCTGGTTTCTTAAGTTAAATCTGTAAAGCACTGTGAGAGACAGAGAAATGAGGCACAGCACAAAGTGGAAGGTGCCCAGCAAAGAATCAACCACTTTTGTATCCTGCTGCTGCGTGTTTCTACAGTTCATTCCTGAAAAAGGCTGTGGGCGCCATCGGAGTGGAGATCTCCAAGGAAACAGAGGGCCTGGGGTTCAACCCCCTGCTCCTCGATCCTCTTTCAGTTTGGAACTAACTCACCACAAGTTACATTCTGCTTCTCTCCAGATACTCACTTCTTTTGATCTCTTCCAATTTCTCAGTGTATTTTGTCAAACTGTTTCCTGTAGTGGGAAAAAAAAAAAAAAAAATCAGTTTGTTACAATTTTTTAATTAGTGATTTTCTTCAGTGCTATTAAGACCTAGATTTTTTGGGGGGAGGAAAATATCAGACTATGATATCAAGTGTTTGCTGTAGATACTCTTTCACCATGACAATACAAGGCATCCATAAATCAAAAGTACCACGATTTTCCTCTTCGTGCTTTTCTCTCACAGGGAAGGCCGAGCTAAAGAGCAAAGTCAGGCAAAGGACTTGCTGGACTCTGACTGCCACCCGCCTCTGGGAATGGGCACTGGTCCAGAGGTTAAAGCCTCCATACTGGAGAGAGGAAGTCACTGCAAACGTTCATGACCAGAGGAGCTCAAATCTTCTACATATACCCACAGGCGCTGCTTCAGTTTTTCTACAGAATGCACCTGAGGTTTTTTTTACAGGATTTTCAGGGAGGGCTACAGAAGTACCCACACCTGCTAGTCACAGAATCATAGAATGGTTTGGGTTGGAAGGGACCTTAAAGATTATGCAGTCCCAACCCCCCGCCCCGGGCAGGGCCACCTTCCACCAGCCAAAGCCCCCTCCAACCTGGCCTTGAACCCTGCCAGGGAGGGGGCAGCCACAGCTTCTCTGGGCAGCCTGTGCCAGGGCCTCACCCCCCTCACAGGGAACAATTTCTGCCATAGATCCCATCTAAATCTCCCCTCTGTCTGTTTAACCCCGTTCCCCCTCGTCCCTGTCTCTTA